TGATTTTAAAATTATTGTATGGTAAGATTACATCATGTTAAGTCATGGAGTCACGACTAGTCCCAAGACTGAAAAAGTACGATAATTGTGATCTTATCTCTATATATGTGTTAGTATATCCCACGTTGCAAATCCTATTACATTTGGTTTGTGAACATTTACCAGAATTTAATAACAGAAACGTCACCATCGCGCAGCAACCACATAATTAGCATGTAGGCCCCTAAAGACCCTCCTTGAAATTTGCACATTCGTGTCATCCATTGTCAAGTAGCGGCAGATGGAGAATGTCCATACACATATATCAGATATACGCCAAGAACACTAAATTACCAACATCAACACGCACTATTGTTGTTTGAAATTATTTCACAGACTTTTATTGGCAATTGGGGGTGAAAGATTCGTTAAAATTTAAATTTTTACGATAGAACCAACTAAAATGCTCACAACCGTTGTGGTGGATAATAGGAATAATAAATTATTAACGGGGGAAACCCTGAAAACATGTAAAACCAAACACATGACCATAAACTCAGACTAAAATACAATTAAATCCTATTTATTTAGCACTACAATTAAAACAGAGGTAACACTTTTTTATAATCCTGAAAGTTATACTAAAAATTTGAACTCGAGCAGTCACTCTGAATCAACAACCTGCACCCGTAGCGACAAAGCTGGAACTTTTCATTAAAATTTTATTCACGAGTTAAAAATTAATCACTTAGTACACAGTCAATAGCAAACAATTCTTAAAACTTCCAAAGAGTAATTTTCAATGAAAGTGGTCCTTTCATGCAAGTTTCATAAAATCGGCCTGGCAATATTTGAGTAAAGAAATTGCTGTGTCCTGAAGAACCAAATTTATATGGTTATATAAAATTTGCAAGCAAAAAAAGCCGCAACTCTACCGCTGACTATCTGGCATAAAGTCGAAAAAAAAAAATCAGCTACCACACATAACTTTCAGCAACATTCCGTAACCGTCTAGACTTAAAATAAAAGTCCTTTCCAGATCATCCAGTCTCATTAAATTTTCGCAGACTCGTCTTGCGTTCGTATTTTTAGCCACAGCTCTCCAACGCTCAAAAATATGCATTTTCTGCGCCTGACATACGTTCCTCGCAGTCGATTTATTCCAGGCGGAAATGCAGCGTTTATTAATGCCACTGCGTGTACATTTTCTTGTCATGTTCGATATGAAAACTAATTAGACTTGATTGAAGGGTTGTTATTGTAGTATCAGCCCCCGGCAAATGCAAGTAATTTCGCTTCTAACCTGAACGTGCTTAAAATATTCGCCAAACAAAAATATCTGTTTAATTAATTTTTATTATGTTTGTTGGAGGCTCCATCTTGCCGGAAATTGGAGAATTCTGTGCTGGACTGATTTTTTCACACCTGATGACTTTCAGTTCTTGGAATTAAAATCTCGTCAAATATTTAATGTCCTTTACGTGACTTTCGGCTTTTCGGGACTTTATTTTGTGTTTGAGTTGGGAGTTTTATAGATGGAGAGATGGAGAGCGAGAATGTGTTCTTAATTAAAATTTGATCGACCCGGGAGTTGTGGATGTGTGTTGATATGGGGTTTAATGGTGACAAAACTTCGAGAAAACGTGTGAAAAAAAAACGTTGGTTTTATTCGGGTTTTTACATCGCGGGTGAAAAATGTAAATGACAAGTTGTGCTTGTTGTGACGAGATTATGGTACTTAACGCAAAAGCGTACTTTGTACACTTAAATAAATTCTATTTTTACTGGCGGTGTAATTTCATCGCGCTCACATATTAAAAGAGTTTTTTCGGCGAAACTTTATTGTATCTACAATATGTATAGTATCAAGGGATTTAAAATAAATCGCTCAGACGCACTTGTCTACACTTTAGAAACCTCCATAATAATAAAACTTTGATGTAGAATAATTTTCTATCGTTACGATGATTAAATTAGAAACTTTAATCTACAAAGTGATTTTTTTTAAGGCAAAAGGAACTATGAAACAAACGCAGACGATGGGGAAATCAAACTGGAGGACAATAAAGAAACAGTGACAGGATTAAAAAGCATCATGTTCATGTGCGTTATAATCAAAGGTTTTTGTACTTTTCTATAGAAATCTGTTTTAAAGCAGGTTTACACCAACATTTTACTTCATTATATTAATTAGCTTCTAACGTTCCAAGAAGCTAGTAAACCCACCTACATAAATTCTAATAATCTGCTTTTCGTGTGTGCTTTATTTTATTTTTGTTTAACTGGCGAAGCTTTGCATGAAATTATTGCAGTACAGACGCATATTTTAGAATATTTCTGTATAACTTGCTGAATGGTTGTATAGAGTTTTATTTCTAGAGTGTTGTAAATGTCTTCTTCGAGTATCATCTGCATTACTTAATGTACATGTATAATATTTTAAGTCTTACTGTTGCTACCTCGAGGACGCTAATATTTAATTTTCATAAAAATTCTTGCTTAATAGTAACGTTACGACTGACTAATAACACATTGTATATATCGGAATTAATTTGTTTACCCACGCAAAATTTAATCGTTGCCTAAAATAATATTGTACATCTTTCTTTTTGAAGCAAATTTACTGCACGGGATTTCTGAAAAATAAGTTTGAATTACTTTATCAGCAATCGTCAAAGTTCTGAGAATAGAGTAACAACATGATAATTTGTGTCACATTGTGTAATACATAACACAGTGAACATATCGATCCCTAATATAAAACATTTGACGAAGTCTACTCTCAAATTATCGTTAATAATAAATAGTTACAATGGGAGTGCGATATTTGCTGTTTTTCAGAAACAAAGATGTTCAGTGTCCATAACTTAACAATTTTTTAAAATTAGATGGTCCTTTAGAAAAAGATAAAACGGGACTTTTTAATTAATAACTGAAAATTTTGAGATTGTTTTGTGAAAAACAAGCCAACATTTTTTACTTTGGACCTGAAAACAAAGCAACTTTAGGCAAACGTTGGTACAAAATTATTTCACGAGTGATCTATCTTTTTACAAAAATCCTTGCATCAAATGTAAGATTATCAGGTAAATTCAGATTAAAGAGGAGGTAGCGAAAAGTAGATGCCTCCAATATTTCGTAATATAAACATGTCACTGACAGTTCAGTGATTAAAGTCTGCCTGGTCGAGCTTGGCAAATAATAAATCAAATAAATTGCGTTTATGACGTGTCAAAATTTTGCAGTACTGTACAAATCAGGATTTGCCTGAGTCGTCATCTAATTTCTCATGCAGAACGTGTCTTTTTTACAACGTTAGTGATGAAGAATTTAAAATTTTTCTTAGATCGGTCTATCCGATGTATTAGTATCGAAGTTCGCTTGACAAACATACAACTTGGTTTTGTGGGTTATGCCCCTCTTAAGTTCATATGTGGTATTAGTTTAAGCGGCAATATTGTTGGCAAGCTGGGACAAAAAAGACGTGCTTTCCGTAAATTCGTTCAAGTTTTTTGTGGTTTGTGATATACGTGACTAAACCAACGCAATATTAAGAACATCAAAAGAGGCTGTGGACTTTTGTGGTTAAGTACAAGGAAGTAAATCTTAAGGCGCGAATACGTCTTTGACGTTATATCGCTTAACAAAAAGCTTTTTTTTTAATTGTAATTAATTATATTAAACAACTAAAAGAGAACAATATCGGAGCACCAAAATGTAAGAATTAAGCCAGATTTAAGTATAAAACCCCAGATGGGATGAATTGTTCATTTGTGGTTTCACTTTTTTCGTTAATGAATTTGTTTTAGTTCTTACTTCATCGTCATAAATGAACCGAACCTACATACAGGAAGGTTATTTAAATATTGATTAATCTTAGTTATGAAATTTATTTCATAATTATTTTTATTTTGAATTAATTTTGAAATTATATCTTTAATGTATTGTATACTTAATAATAAAACATGTAATTAAATTGGTAAAGAGATGAAATCAGCCATCATTTATACAACGCTAACGAAATTTGTGCATTTATCCCCTCCAAAAAGTTAATGACAACTATGTGTATGATGTGTTACTCACTTTAAATGTGCAATGTGGCAAAAACCATTTCTATTTTTATTGCATGGATTACTAAAACAGATTAAAATTTATTCTTCTTGCGTTCAGAAAGCAATAAAGTAATCTTAAAAAAAATTGAAATTTTATGGTATATTCTTTTATTTTGGCTTTCTCAGTTGAACCTAAGGAGACCACTGTATTATCGCTTTTATGAGCTGTTTTACGTTTTGTTAGTTTATGATGTATGGTTGGTCTGATAGTTATTTTATGACACGTTCTAGGGAACCACCGAACTAAATACTTACTTTACAATTTTAAGTGTACTTGAAAATTACGTGGTCGATAAAAGACTAACTAAAATTTGCCCATTCCTGGTAATTGCTATTAGTATGAAGGGTGGATACTTTTTTTCAATGGTTTAATAATCCAGTGGTATTTTTAATTTATTTCTAAATTAAAATTGTACAACTAGATTCAATTTTTTTCAGAAATTCTAAACGAATTTAGTAAAAAACTGAATTACTTTTTCTTAATGCACCTCCAAAAATTAAGAAATAAATCTATTGTGATCACACACCTTTGAAATGCTTCATTAATATTTTCTCAGCTAATCACGGAAAATCACTTAGAATCCTAAAAGTTATTCGTAATATATTAACTTACAAAATTTTAATGTCGCGTTTGATGTAAAACATCTGAACCAAACTCAGTAATCAGAAGCGACGTCACGATAAATTGTAGTCTGTTTAAGAATTTCTTAAAAGTTCCCCGTGACACGAAAAAAGCAACATGCGAGATAAAAGCAAAATAAGTTATCATTTCTCCTTTATTAATTGTTTCCCCTCAATCAGGTTAGAGAAACCAGCTTTAACACATAGTTTAACACAATCAGCCCACTGAAGCATAACCACATAACGCATCGAAAACCAAAAAAAAAAAGAGAGAAAAATACCACTTACTTCACAGGGTCTCAGATGCAGCGAATCGAAAGCTTCTGCTTTCGTAATAACGTTTTTCAAGCGTATGGGCTTTTTGTACCCTCCAGGTGAATTGTGGACTACCGGACAGTAATTTTCCGCGTTCGCCACGTGATTACTGTTTATCATCGACATTTTCCTCATCTATTCACCACATTATCTCGAAAAACGCACAGAGAGTTTATTTTCCCGTCATATGTGGAGACAATGTTGTTTTACAATTCCGAACCGGAGCGTAAATAATCAAACAAAACAACACTCCAGGGTAATTGATTCGAATAAAATCGTCAATCTCCTTTAACTATCCTATAAAATCGGAAAATTAATTAAACAACGGCAATTTCCGGGAGACCGCCACTCAATCTACCCCTTGAACTTTATTCCAATTTAGAATTTTTAATTTCGTGCGATTTCTTATGCAAATTGCTTGGAACCGCCGGCACAACTTGGATTATTTGTTGTGGGAACTTTTCTACTTTTTCTCTTTTTTCAAGTTTCATTCTTCTTCATCGCGATGTTTTTGACGCGGAAGGCCAGTGGTGACTGTATGCAATCCAGCGTGCGTTCCGGTTACCGGAGTTGAACACGGATTTCTGCGCTACGCTCCGGAGTGCGAAACCGTACCGACACGCTCCTCCCCACCATTCATCCCTTATCGCAACACCCCCACCACGCGACTTCGTCACCTGTTGACAGTATTGCATTCAGCTTTGGAACCGAACGGAAGTCGGACGGGGGTGGAATAAATTATTCATTTTGTTTGCAGGGGCGGCAGATGGGGAAACTTTTGAAAAACATCACTTTAATAGGCGAGATTGGCGAAGTCCAATTATTCGGAATGCGGACAAAAATACAATATGTTGAAGTATAATGATGAATCCAAACTTGACTCGGAAACTTTTATGAATGGACTTCTTGGGTGGAGGATTTTAAGAAACCCAAACAAAAATGTATTAACAGCTATATTTTGCTTCGTAGTAAGTTCATTGATTTAAACAACTTAACACTGCATTCGTGTTTCCAATATTTAGATTTTTCGACTTGAAAAATGTTATATTGGGTGTTCCCGAACAGTCCATTCACCAAAAAAAATCTGACTATTATTTCAGTCCAATTTATATATTTATTTTTACTGTTTATTTATTGCAATCGAGTTCATTGGACGATGCGCTACTTTTATGTTTTCGTGACATTTCATGACTCTTTTAAGTTCGAAAAAATAGGTCTTCCATTTCCGTCTGCTCCGAAACTACTGGACCGATTGTTGTAAATTTTATGTGTATATTAGCAGGGGCGGCTTGTCCTATGAGGCAGGTGAGGCAGTGCCTCACCAATGAATTTTACGCCTTATTAGGATTTTTACTATTTTTTAACGACACATTTCGGCCAATAATTTGTGTCTTTTTTTCTAAAATTTTAAAAATAAATAATGAAAATTATATTCTTATTTTTATCTCAGTAGGTACTCGTTGCTCCCTTAATTAAACAGCGCGCTGAAACACTCGACACAACATGTATTTTGTGACGCGAATGAGGCAAACTCGGAGCTTGCCTCTACAGCGGATATAGAAATCATATCGTTAATAGGCAAGCAACCTGCAATACACTCATAAGCGGTATGAGTTGAAAAAAGACAAAATTGAGGCTAGCCTCATTTCCGTGCTTGCAAAAGAGATGGACAACAATATTTGCGCGCGGAGAGCGTGCGATTACAATGCAGTCTGCATTTGCAGAAGTATTCAAAATTAGGCCGTTGATTGTTTTGCCACAAATCTGTGTGTGTATAAATTGATTCAAAATTTCGGTAACAGAATTTTGTCTTAAAAGTGCCTACGTTTGTGTGTGTCGCGTTAGTGCTTTGTGCTTGTCATAATTTGATTTCGGTAATCGTTATTTAAGATTACGAGTAAATCGGAATTTTTCTCTACTAACGTTAAATGACAATAGCAGTTCTGTTTTTTCTACTTTCACGGATGATGATAAATTGTATGTAGTTAAGGAATTAAAACGGCCGGTTCCTGATTTGAGTAAATCGCTAATTATTGATCTATAAAAAAGTTTAAAATAAATCCAGAGTATTTATGTTTTATATGTTTTTCGTTTTGTTTTTTGTTATAAATCAAATAGGTTTATTTTATGTTGTATTTGATGTTTTTCAATTCGTTTTCTTTAAAGTTTATTTTAATTTTGTTTTTTTTTTAAGTTATATTAGTTTTTTCTGACCACGTTTCCCTTTCCTTTTGTCCTGTCATTCCCATCCTTTCCTTACAAGAGTTCCTTACACCTTCACGTTGGTTCTTGGTGGACAGTTAAATGAGTTTACAAATTTGTTTATTTGACTAAGTAGAAAATATTTAAGTAATCTTGATTTATTTATATTTTGGAACGTATTGTGCTTTGCCTCATCAACTTTTCAAGTCATGAGCCGCCCCTGTATATTAGGGATATCGTGTTGATGATAAAACGCAAACCAAAATTTGAATAAACATCTCCACCAACTACAGGATGACGTCATCCCCAAAATTTACATGAGTAAATGTTATTTTAATTTTATAGAATCAAATAATCCTTCACATGTGGTTTATGTATCCGGGTGCAGTTTACGCTAGATTTTTTTGAAAAACATGTAACATTTTGCAATTTAACTTTGAAACAGCAAATCTGAATGTTCTGAAATTTTACAGACGGTTTAAGGATACCGAAATCATGGTAAATACTTAATCAAAATTTATTCGTTTATTTTCTCCCAAAAAATTCATGACGTCAACTCAAAATTTTGCCGAATAAATCTTCTTTGAAATATGCAAACTATTATGACTCTATAATTGTGGATTATTATCAGCACACTCATAAACTTTAGAATTACTTATACAGGATGACTCAAAAAATTAATAAATGAGGCAATTTATTGTATTGATGAAAAGCAAAAATTACCGCCTCCATTTTCTCGAAAATTTGGGAATACAGGACTGCTATTATTAGTATTACACTGCAAAAATGTTGATGACGTCATCACAAAATTTTGTCATTAAAAACGCACTTGACCTTATTATTACAAACATATCTTCATTATAACTTATAAGAGTTATCATAAAAAAATAAAACTCAGAATCCAGTCTTACAATTTTTCGAAAAGTCTGGATTTACCCTCGACTATTTTTATGTCAGAATTTTTCCTTTCTAAAATTTTTCCATTTGCTTTGCAATTTTTCGATATTACATTTTTTCATTTTTCCATTTTACAGTTCTTGATTTTGAGTTGTTGATTCCTCGATTTTCGAATTTTTAAATTTTTTCATTTCTTCAATTTTTCAAGTTCTTGATTTCCAAATTTTAGATTTTTCAGTTTTATACTGTTTCGTTTTTTTATTTTTGATTTTGCAATTTTGCAATGTTTTCATTTTTAATTAAAAATTGAAATATCGAAAAACTGAAAAAAAGAGAAACTGCAAAATCGAAAAATTCCAAAATCGAAAAATTGGAAAATCGAAAAATTGCAATTTGAAAAAACGAAAAATTGAAACATTGAAAAACTAAAAAGTTGATGAATTGAAAAATTGGAAAAAAGTAAAAACGAATCGAATCGAAAAATTGGAAAACCTAAAAATTGTGCAATCGAAAAGTTATAGAATCGTCAAAATTGTAGAGTCGAAAAACTGTAACATTAAAAAATCGAAATATTGAGTATCTACCTAATGCAAAAATTAAAAATCGAAAAATTGAATAATTGAAAAAGTTATAAAAACCAATGATTGACGAATGGAGAAATTCTAAAATTGTATAGTTAAAAAAGTGAAGAATTTTAAATATAATATACATAATTATTACATATTTCAAATGAAAACTGGAAAATAACAAATCAAAAAATCAAAAATTGAACAGAACGATAAATTAAAAACTCAAAAAGTTGAAAAACCGAAAAATTGAAAATCCAAAAAATTGAAAAATTTCACATTGAAAAAAAAAAAGAAAAATAAAATCTGAACAGTTGAAAAATTAAAAATGAAGAAAATAAGCAACCGAAACGAAAACTTGAAGAAATGAAAAATTGAAAAACCGAAAAATTGCAAATCGAAAATTTGAGTAAATGAAAAATTATAAAATCTAAAAATTGAAAAATTCAAAAGTTGGAATTCGAAACAACGAAGAAACAAAAAAAATGGAAAATTGAGGAGTTCAAAAATTCAAGTCAAAAAAGCTGGGAGAATGGTATTTAATTTACTTTATAGAACGATATAAAGATAAAATGGCAACAATTTTTCAAAGAAGCGGTATTTGTTGGGCTGTACTTCCGAGGCGAGAGAAGTTCTTTCAAAATCACCTTTGACTATTTTTTTGCGACTATATAACGATTAATTCACATCTACGTTATAAAGCTCTGGAAACTTTGTCCTCAAAGTTAGAAAAATATAGATCAACTAATTTTAAAAAAATCATGAAATTTTGGAAATTACGTTCAATAAGTTGTGGAAATTTTTTCTCACATTAATTCCAACATTAAATTTTTGCCGGCATGATCAGTGGTGTAAGTTTCAATGTTGTTACGAAATAAACCAATACGCCGCCCCAGAACGACGCCCATGACTTGTCGAGAGCTTTCTCGAATGTACGGCAATGATGACTCATCATCGATGACGGTGGCCAGCGATCGCTAAAGAAAGGCCTGGAAGCGGGAGTCGCGATGGGCAAACCAGAAAAATCTCGAAGCGGCGTTCTCAATCCATCGAGAGGAACATACAGGTTTAAATAGATTCCACCGTCGGGGAACGATTATTATTCAGTTCAGTTGAGTCCAACGACTGTCGAGAAAACGCAGCCAAGTTGCGCTGGAATTATTTTGTATATAATCGCTGTGTAATTAGTCGTGAAAATTCGAGTTACTAAGAAATAGATTGTTGAGTTTAACCCACGCCGACTTTAATCACCGGTTCAACGTAACAATATCTACACGATAATCTGAAAATTTCAAGACAATCAGTTCAGTTTCAATAAAATTACCAACAGACGGCAGATGGCAATAGGAAACCTATTTTTTCATATTGTAGCAGATATGAAATGTTGAGAAAACGTTAAATTATCCGTCATCAAATGGGCACTGTTACAGCACCAGCTTACGTTCAAGAGGTACAAATAAAAAAGTGAAGTAAACAAGAAACCTCTTTAAAGTAATAAAAGAATTTTTTGTACCAGCTCTTTTTAAGTAAATGATTTTCCCTTTTTACTTTTTATACAGTTAGAAGATAAAACATTTCATTTTATTACATCTTAAATGAAAAAATATTTAATATTTCAATACTAATGAACTTTCAATATTCCCTCGAAGTTTCAATTTGATTAGAAAGCTTTCCGAATTTTAAACAAAATTTAAAGTTGTTCGTAAAAATTACTAACACTTGCAAAACTTTAATTTTTTTTTTTTAAATACACAGAATCAATACTTCTAAAAGATTTATGGGGTAAGTACGAACTGTAAAAGTCTAGTAGATGTATAGAATTTAGCCAGAGAAATTTTTAATGTTAAATAAATTCAGTAAATAACAATATTGTTAACAAAGTGCCTG